GAGCCATAACAATGTCTGGAACTCAGCGCGTGTCCTGTGCTTTGCCAACCCCAGCGCGTGGCTATGATCAACATTGGCGGCATATAATCGGCTCCAGATCACGTGGCCGCTTGTTGTGGCTGCGAGTTCAGGGGGTGAGCGGTGCTCGTTTTTCTTTAATTCTTTTCTGGAACATCTACTGCGTGGGGTGAAAAACGAACGCGTGTTTCATAGTTCATTAACGTCAGGGATCTCTTTTAAAGGAGCGATGCAACAATTTTTGTACTTTGCGCAAATACCGCTTAAAACGGATCCCTAACGTTAATGACCTATGAAACACGCGTTCGTTTTTCACCCCACGCAATAGAAGTCCCAGAAATAAATTGAAGACAAACGAGCAGCGTTCTCCCCCTCAACTCGCAGCCAGAACAAGCGGCCACGTGATCTGAAGCCGATTATATGCCGCCACTGTTGATCATAGCCACGCGCTGGGGTTGGCAAAGCGCAGGACACGCGCTGAGTTCCAGACATTATTATGGCTCGGCTGTTGTCGTCGTTGCAGCGATTGGACACGGGTCACTACCCGAATGCTTCTCGAGGTAGCAATTATCACGAGCCCAAGTCGAGTGCCCACGCAATGCTCGGGTCCAATCTATGAACAGCATTCAAATATCGTCACTTGGGTGTACTGCGATCCCCACGGTACGTCATCAAATTTTGCAAAGGAGAGATTGAATAAGAATGATCGCTTTTGTCCTTGAAATTACACCGCAACAAAGGAGTTTCTTGGCCACTGGCGTTGCGTGCGAGTATCCTTGAGTCCCAGGTGTGCCAGTAAGCTCGTGTCAAGTGAAAAACATTCCAATTGGATATCGTTGCACCGCTCCTTTAAGCCGTATTTGCGCAAAGTAAAAAAAATTGTTGCATCGCAACACAGATCAGTATGCACTGGCTACGATGGAGATGGGCCAGCCAGTACGTCTAACCGTCCGTCGAACAAAGCCGGCGGTACAATGTCTTACCGAGACGTCCTTTAGTCTTTAAAGGGGTCATGAAACGATTTTCCTACTTCTTCCTCCTTAGCTTTAATCCTCAACTCAAATGCGAATTGTGAAATCACGTGGTCGTGACATTCCTTCGGCACCGGTGCGATGACTCCTAGCTTCCACCGTGCTTTTTATGCACACCATAGAACTTGTCATTCCCCAGTGACGATAAGTTCCGTCAGGGCACTCATTGGCCACGAACGCGAATCCAAATATTCGTCAACGAATTGATTGTTGACGAGCGCATACGTCCGAGTGACGCAGTTCTCGTGTCCAATGCGTGAGCTGGGCTCTGCTGACATCAGTTTGGCGCCGGTGACGCGCTTTTGGAACCGCGGATGTATCATAGTGAAAAGGCGGAGAGCTTTCGAAGGCAAGAAGGTACAAAATAGTCCGCTATATTTTCAAATGTTCGTACCGAAAAGCTGGCTTTTGACTTTCTAGCCTCTTTCTTTTGGCCAACAAAACGATATGCGATTAGTAAAGTCTCAATTTAAACTCATTCATTCCAACCCAAAATTCGTTTCATGGGCCCTTTAACGCCCGCAAAGGGTCAACAAGGTGCCTTTCAGACCTCGCCTTTAGATCAAAGCTCAAAGAGACAAAGTGCAAACTATCATTCGAAACCTTGTACATTTTTGCGTTTTCATCTTTCCGGTCTAACAAGACAGTGCCTTTACATTTATCGGCGAATAGGATCACGATAGATCTGTCCAATTTGAGATTACTCAACGCATGCGCGCTCACCACCACTCAGGTTCGTACGAGCGTTTCTGGCGTCCGACAGGGCTGACAATCGGCTCTGCGCCGATGGGCACGAGAGAGATATCAAATGTGACGCAATCTCTCCTGAGCCTCCACAACGATATCCCGTTTCTGAACTTTTTTTTTTTTTTTTTTTTTGAGCTACAGCAAAATTCCGGACCTTTCATAATAAACTCACGTGACCTAGAGACAGCTTCTTGGAAGGCAAATTGTGCACAGCTGCCACATCGTCGAGTCGTAGCGAGCGATCAGGAAAAAAAAGAAGAGTTTCTGGCGGTAGTTGTGTGTTAGCGTTTTCCTTTCTAGGTCTCCATCTTGTTTCTGTGCTCTGATGATGTAACAAAAATTGTTGGGACGAAGCTTGTTTCAGAGACAACCAGACGGGGATATTTTTGGCGGGTAGACTGGTTACCCCTCCATCCTTGCCAGAGTGTGCTGAAAACGCCACCCGTATAAGTGGCAAAACATCTATGAGCCTTCTTTTTTTTTTTTCTGTTTGGGAACCGATATTTTCTCTTTCACGTGTCCCAGTCCCCGAAGTGCTATTTTCAATAAATAACAAATTTCTCAATGTTACGGACTCAAAGAATTGGACGCATTCTTTCTTTCTCATTTGACAGTGTTGGTACCACCACGAGTTACAGGACGGGTGTTCGTCCTAAGCTTATCCACCTGTCGTTGACTTTAATGCAACGCTTCTGTACTCGTTTTGTAAGGCATAAAACTGAATTTGAACTACAAATCGCAGTTGTGGCAGTGCCTAGCTTTTGTTTTAAAACAACTTTAAATCCATTTTACCGCTAGGCCGCCACGCTCGATCACCACGCTCGGGTGCCACGTTCGAGCGTCACAGACTTGATTCTTTTTCTTCGAGTAATTGCAAACAACTCGTCTAATAATTACTCTTGAGAAGCTGCCTCCTTCTTCTGCAGTTATCACAAGAGCCTCATCCAAGGGCCTGTAAAACTGAACGCTTTGCCCGCACCTCATTTAGAACCAAAATAACTGTAAACATCTTTAAATAGCGGACTCCTCATTTAAAAAAAAAAGTTTACACTTGTCTTAATCATTCTGATGAACTCGAGGAGGTATAGAATGTGCTGTAAATTATCTAGACACATGTCGTGCACGGCAGGTACCCCGCGACACAGTGATAACAAGCTTGACAAATCCTAGCAGATCAGCAAATTTAACCAATTCCAGCAAATAATGGCTCTCGCAACATAACACAGCCTGTGCCTTGCTCATTCACAACACATTTCGTGCCTCTCTGAGATTATTAGCATAATCAGAGCAGTGTTGTACGGAACGGCGTTCCAAAGAACGGTGTTCCTGGAACGCGTTCCTTTTAGGAGGAACGAAGGAACGCCGCCGCCGCATCTTGCATCGGTGGAACTGGAACTCGTTACACTTTTACAAAAGCTAAGAAAAGAACGGCGTTCCTTTTTTTTTTTTGTCCAGTGGGGTAATTTTCATTTCATTTCAAAGAAGAGACCGGGATCTCGTTTACTTTTTGGTTACTTATCTTAGGGTTTAATTTGTGTGGTCCTCGCTTTTTAACAGTCGGGTGCAGGAGAGCTAGTGGACATTGATACTTTTCTAGGTGCCCGAGACCTTGGTACAAAAAGCAAAACTTTTAGTCGAAGGAAAAGCCACAGCAACAGGCAAGTGTCAAACTCGGTTACTTTCTTTGCTTCCACGAATCCTCATACACCCAGAAACCTAAGGCCGACCACATTCATCATTGAACTTCCACAAAAAGACATACAGTTCCAACAAAAGAACAGGTTACCATGACATCGAACACACCCTTGTATCCCGAACATTTGTCACTTAAAATATACACAAAAGTAACCTTTCTTCATTGTTCCTTTTGTCCCCAGCTTTAAACTGAACAACGAATCCAACCTTTACGAAGAGGGACTTGTATTTTTCAAGACTGACCTTCGAAAAGCCCTACTCTTTTCTTCACTTGCTCGTCCTGCGTGAACAGCAACGTCGAGAAAAAACTGTTGTTAAGTTCGAACAAGGGACTTCGTTAGATTGAAACTTGTGAGGCTGCTGAAAACGGTCGTGGCAGTGTGGGGTAACAGCACATTTGGCTAGTCTGAATCGCCCACCACAAAGATGAATATGACTAAACGCTGATATTTTTAAAGGTGAATATATCAACGAACGAAACCCTGCTTCCTCTTGTTTTCTTCTCCTGGTGCCCTTCCATCACGGCATTCAGATTCGTTTGCTCCTATTTAATGGGATAGATAAGAAAAAAAAACACTTTCCTCGATCTAAATAGATGTGGTAATCATCAAAATACAAATGTAACGTATATGTAACGATACGTTCAATTTTTTTAATGTAACGGGAACGAGTTTCTTTTTTACAAATGGAACTTGTAACGGGAACGCGTTCCAAAAGTCGGAAGGAACGAGCTTTCGTTCCTTCTTTTGAGGAACGTGTACAACACTGAATCAGAACAATTAATAAATTGTTTCGCAAACCAACTCACTGATTAGTGTATCTACTTGTCTATTAAAAAGACGCGATCAATAAGGTTAATCTTTACCAATGTGTAGTTTTTCCAGGATTGTGACAGCCACGCTAATCCCACAGAGGCGGCTTTGAGGCGCTTGCTGGCTGCTTCAACGAAATAGAAAAATAAACAACCTCATTCAATGACTGCCCGATCACTTGTCACACTTTTTGTGACTTGTCGCCGGCTCCTAGAAACCTTTCGACCATTCTGTGGAAGGGTCAGTTCCCAATGTCCCCCTTTGATTTATTTAAAATCGAAATCCCGTCTTTTTGAATAAGTTCTTAACTCGTACCCACAACAGATATATAATTAGATTATTACTATTTCTTATATAGGGCGTAACCTTTTACCTCTCACAAAAACCATTTTTATTATCCACAATACAATCCCTGTTCATTTTTCAGCAATGGTCAACCGGAAGAGATCGAAGTCCCGACGTATGGGAAATTAGCTCTTAGCATCAGTTGAAATTGAAATTCTACAGCAGCTCACGAACTTTTCAAACATAGACGAAATATTTAGGTAGCTCCTGTTTCAACCTTTCCGTCCCAGCAGTAAGTGATTACGGTCGGAATTCAGGGGAAACAGCGCCGAGACCCCGAGGCCTTCACGAGCAAAAATGTCCGGACATCGGGAGGGCACCCCTCCGGATTCCCGAAGTAAGGTAGTGCACAAAGTAAGTTGTGGAGAGGAGACTCGACGCCACTTAAATCGGTGAGACGGGTAGACGAAGAATCGCCCGTCTCAAGGAACACAAAAGAGAGAGACGCTGCCAATTCGACACGCGCCACAAGGGCGAATCCCAGCTTGTCGGTAATTGCTGCCATCTGGACGACGGACTCCACGGCGTGCAATGTCAACCGCGTCCCCCTACCGGACGTATACGGGGATAATTTGGATGGGTAGACCGGTTGGCCCTCTCCATCGCGGCCAGTGTGTTAAGCCTTAGTAAACGTTTTGAAATACATTTGAACTGAACCAACGCACATGCCAAGTTCTTTGCATGTGTGCGGATACGCCTGGACAGTGCTGTATGTATGACACGATGAGCGAAACAGCTACTTGCTTTGTAACCTATACAACTTCAACTAAGAAGATCATAGTAGAAGATATGCGCAAGGAGAGCGATGTTCACCACGCGCTTCTAGCGTCACCGTTCAAGGACCTCGTGAACGAGGGGCTGCTCATTCAGGCAAGTTACTATATTTCATATCCTGTCTCTGAAAACTTCGTTTAACGGTCAGCAGTTTGCTTATGCTTAGTTTTGAGTTTTGTTCGCGCTTTTCTCAGAAACCCACCAAAGGGGCCATAGCCAAGTTATGTCAAAATGACTGCTGGGTCTGTCGATCGGTCGTACGTTGAATCGAGAGCGTACTTAAAGTCCTAATCACCCGCAAAAAAAAAAAAAAAAAAAAAAAATGGTAGAGGTCTATGCCACGCACGCTCTGCTTCCACCAACTGACGAAGTAACATTGCTAATATTTAGAATTATGCATGATAAACATAGTAATTGTTTCCTTAAGTTTGCCTTCCTCTGCGTTTATTAATAAAACAGGCAAGAAATATTTTTAGTTAACATTTTTCCCAATTTTGTCTAATTAAATAATCTTATAGAGGCGTTAATTAAACTTGGTCAGTTATGAATTGCCAACTATTTTGCAATTAACGTGCGATTTGATTATATCAACACAGTAGTAGAAAGTAAAGAAGTCAGCAACGCGATACGAAACTTTACATCCGGCGATCGCGTCCCGTTTTGCCGAACGACTTCGTCCTGCTTTGGAACCAAAATTATTAGGTTCAGATAACAAGATATCCGGCTATTCAATTCTGACTTAAAGTGAGGTAGGGTAGACTCGTTCAAAATAAAGCAGCGCAGTTTTATGGGTTTACTATTTAACTTCAAAATCTCTACAGTTTCACTATTATGCCCAGAGACGTCGTCCATAAGGTTTTTCTTTTTTCATTCATGCATTCATTAATTTATTAATTTTATTTTCGACTGTTTGTTCAAATACAGGCGCTAAGGGCGTGAACAAATGACTGACAGTTGATGGTTTGACGAGGCCAACGTCATTTTATGGCAAACGGTAAACAAAAGCAAAACGCGAAAGAGCTCTTTCTAAGTACAGCTTTACCGAAGCTTATATTTCCCTTTGCGCATGTTGAACACGTTACCGCAGCCAAACAATGCTAAAAAAGTTTAAAATTTCAGATAAGCTAATGTACAACGTGTATTCAAAGTGTTTAAAATTAAATTTTACAGATTAAAAAAAGTTTAGGACAGAAACTGAAAATAGGTTTTGAAATCTAGCTAGGTTATACTCCTTGGCGGACACTATGTGCAAGTTTAACCGTAACTGTTAATTTTCTAATTAACAAAAAATAATAACACATTTATGAATTAGTGTAATTAAGGTATAAGTTTATATTGGGAACTTGAAGCCGGCCTGTGTTCCGATATATCCATCTTTTAATTTAGCACTCAATCCTCCTAACTCAATCCCGCAGTGCACGCTTACGAAACCGCGAATATCAGCGCAAGAGCTGTCGTTTTGCACGACATTCCTCATGACAACGGAGCGGAGCTGGTAACAGCTGCGAGCGAGGGCAAAACTTATCAGTTCCGCCGCGTTGTGATACGGAATGTGCACGTAACGACGACGTCACAGCGGAGAAGGCTTTTGCGCTGATCTGCGGGGTTTTGTATGAGAATACGAGAGGTAGGTGAGAAATTCATTAAACGATTTAAAACAATTTTGAAGAAACATGACCGCGACATGACGCGATGGAGACAGAGGGGCAAGTAAAGGGCAAGGCGGACTAGATCTTGAACACATAGTAATAAAAAAAAAAACTGTTGCTAATTGCTAGCTACTTTTATTTTAGAACCAGTGTATGAAACCAAAGTTTAATCTGAAATTGTGTAAAAACCTGATGTCGCCCTATGAAGGATTTGTTTAAAACATATTGCATAAGCGCAGTACAAGGCTAGGGAGCGGAAGCACACCCTAGTATAGTTATGACTTTGATGTGCAAGCTTCCGTTTGCTAATCGTATACTTCAAATAGCCTGCAGCACGTAGTTCTTAAATGTTCAGAAGTGCTGGAAAGATAGTAGTGACTTATTTTGTGAAATGCTTATAACCGCGTTTTATTGTTTCAGGTCAAAGATAAGGATCTAGGTTTGTTCGTCGACGCGGAGGGAAGTGTCGAGCCAAACGACATTTGGAACCTGGCTTTGAACCCACTTGTCGGTGAAGGCCAGAGGAGCCAACACAAATCAACTGTTGAAAATGACCTCCTACAACCTCAAATAAACGCTTTTGTAATTTTTTATATATGTTGTCATAATAAAGATTTCAACCATAATTACCTATTTTGTGCATCTTCCTTTCAGCGATGCAAATACCGAGAGCATTAACTGGTGCCTTGGAACGCACCCCTTCTTTACTAAGAAATCTTGTAGCAGAGCCAGCTTCAAAGAAATGTGAGCTGTTGTTTGGGGCATTTGCTTCCCATAAAGGCTTCCCCCAAAAAGTTTCATCTGACCCCCCGTTTTGTAATGCTAGCATCAACAAACACCGAAAAAAAGCGAAGTCATTGAACTCTCCGGTACTTGAAAATGGTGCCAAGGAACCCCTTATGGGACGAGAGTCCTCTGAATCTCAGGGGGTTGCAAAGGGTGCTTGTGAGCACCGTTGTACGAGCGTGTCTATTAAGTATCCAGGGGAGTTAAAGGAATCCTCAATTTATAAGAGTTTTGCAGCTCCCATGGTGTTGCGAAGCCGCACTGGACTGGGGAGTCTTGCGAGTCCCTAGGAGTAGTAAAGGGCGCAATATATCTCCCACAAAAGTGGGAGTCATGTGAATACCTGGGAGTTGAAAGGAGCATTAAACAACACCGATAAAAAGACGGGTCACGTGAACCCCCGGGAGTTATAAGGAGTGCCAGACAACACCCCTGTTTAGTGGGATAACTTGACTCCCTAGGTGTTACTTAACGAATTAAGCAGCACCCTTAGTGAGGGGTGTCAGATGAGCACAAGGGGATTCAGATAAGGAGCTAAATGACCCCTGCAAAACGGGGTGTACTATAGCTCTCCGATTTAGGGGGATAACATGACTCGCCCGGGGAGTTATTTCTGAGACATCGCTTGACTCCCCTGAAGGGAGTACCCGTGTACACCCTTTTTTTTTAGAGTGTGCTTCACATACCTTGAAAACGGATGTCCCAAAACATCGCTCGCGTTATAAAGAACGGGATTGTACTGTACCCAGTTGATACACATAATGTTCAATGACTTAGGAAGCTTTCGGTTCGTTCGATTTTGGACTAGGATCTATATTTTGCGAACGCAAAGCGGAAAATATGTTGCCCCCGAAACGGGGCGCTCTGGAAGGCCGCTTTCCCGCACGAAGGTCGAATCCAGTTCTGCCCACGTGATTACTCCTCCGCCAATGCGGAGATGGCGGCGAAAGGAAAAGGAACGCGATACTCTGGCTCTGCAAGCAGAGCCTATACAGTTACTCTTCCCCCACCCTCCCACTGCTCTGGCGTTACTGGCAAAGAATGATGTTTATATTATTATGATTATTATTATGCGCCAGCTCTGCCAAGTCAAGCTAATAACGCAATAAGTCACGATCGCTAAGAATTGTCCTGTTTGTTCATTCTTCGCACCCTTCTCATCACCTACACTCTCTTCAGTTCATTTCGCAAATCATAAAAGCCCGTTCAGACACTTGGGGCTCCTTCGCAGGTTTCAAGGCATCAAGAAGGCACTTTCCCCCCCTCCCCCCCATAAAAAAAAGTTTTTTGCCAGGCGTCTTAGTACGGTCTCAGAAGACTACCCAATCAATATTTTGCTACAGTGTCCCGTATATTTCTAATAAAGTAAAAAAAAAAGAAAAAGAAAAACACGCAACTGTTTGAAATTAAGACTGAACTGGAGAGGAAGAAGAAATGTAGAAGAGAGAGTTGCCGGCAGTCACGTGACTACACCCGACTGTTTTCTCTTTTTTTTCTTCTTTGTTTTTTCCCGCACGAAAAACACCGAAGTCAAGCACTTCGCGCTTGACGTTTGCGCGTTTTTCAAGCACCTATCAATTCGTGTTCATAAAACGAGCGACGTCTTCTGCCTGAAGAAGGCGACTCTGCGATGTCTTCATGTGAATCAGCTTGGTGATCGGGCGCGTAGTATGGAGGAAATCCTGATTGTTTTGATCGGTAAACGATTTATTTCTCGAAGCTAGACAGATTCGCCGGTACCGCGAACGACAGTCCTGAAGCAGATGCCCCACGTCCATCATCCGCCGCCATTGCTTGGTAGGCTTCCTTCAGCCGTCTAGCTCGCGACACCCGCGATACGACGCCATGTTGAGAATTACGCATAGAATGCACAGAGTGCTTCCGGTTCTATCTGCAATTTATTTTCTCTTTTTCAATCAACGTATCTGCAGCATTTTAGAAGCCAGAAAAAATAGGTATCCTGATATTTTTTTTTTAAATATTGAGTGTGTGCCTTCGATGACCCACGACTTTTATTATATTTGGTGTGTGTGTCTAATCCGCAGAGAACGGTACATGACCACAAAGAAGAGAGTGAGCGCGACCCAAACCGGCCAGTGCTCGATCGGCGGTTTTAGGGCGGAAAGAAAGCGAATTTCGAGCCGGAAATTGTGTTCTGGGTAGTTGAGCTCTCATATGCCATGCACAAAAATAACCTTGGCGAGGATAAATTGCCTGTCAGTGTCAAACGCAAGCGTGTGAACGGGTTTCAAGCGCCCGCGCTTTCTGAATACCGTCCGTGACGTTCCACCCGTTTCACCCTGGCGTCGCGAGATGGCATCAGCGTCCCGGAGAATAGGCACGACTTCTCTTCATCATTTATGCCAGGGGTCTGCAAACCCCGGCTCGCGGGCCAAATCCAGTCCGCAAGGGGAGGAGGGGGGGGGGGGGGTAAAAATGTATGGATATACAATAGGGTCGTCGGAATTTTTTTTTTTTTGGGGGGGAGGGGGGGGTGGAAGCCCCATAAGCCTCCCTCTTGGCTATGCTTTAGGCTATGCCACTGCAGGGAGGTCTTTCGACCGGCCTGTGACTGGCCAAGGTCCTTCCAATGAAGTCCGGTCCCGTGGCCCGCTTCCAGCAAACCCGCTGCTACAAAAAAAAAAAAAAAAAAATCTTACGTTATGAAACGGCGCCGTAACACAAACCAACCACTTAAAATATATATATATATATATATATATATATATATATATATATATATATATATATATATATATATATATATATATATATATACATAAAACGCAGAGAAAATTGATTGTCGTAAGGCGTGTCCTCTTGTCATATTATTAATTGTACATTGTCATAACCATCATCACCATTCTTTGTTCTTTGTTTTATATCTCTGTAACAACGCATGTTAAAGTTCATTTGCGTTCTCGTGTGTATTGTGCTTATGCCCTGCGTGAACATGGCACCAAAGTTCAAATGCGCCTTGACTTGTCACTGTTCAGTTTTATGGTTCTCAATTATTGTGTATATATCACAATTAGCCAAATATAAAATTTCAAAATAAAGTAGATGCATTCATCTGCCTTAGATTCTTTTTTTAATGTTCACTGTAACTTTCAATTTGGTATTTGAATTCTTATATGACGTTACTTAGTTTTTCCTCATTTATATTTACTTATTTATTTTTCGGCCCTCGAGGGAGCGACAGATCCTCGATTCGAACCATTAGCCTGAAAACGTGGAGACCCCTGATTTATGCGATACCACTAAAAAGTGCAACAAGCTCGTAAGATTTTATGACAAGAGAAAATGCGCTGGTGTCGCACATAATGGATAGTAAAAGCTAAAGATAACGAAAGGAGAGGGAACGTTCTAAATGTCTAGGTTACAACGAATAAATGAATTAAACTGAGATTTAGCGTGGTCACTCACAAGGTGAGAACACCAGGGCGTCTCTTTCGAACATTCGGTCTCCAGCACCCGCTCCTTGCCTTCCGCCGTGCTTCAGCTGCGCGCCCACTTTCGAGGATTACAAGACGCCGAAGCATAATCGAAGGTAAACGAAGCTCGCGCTGGAGGAGAGGCAACTGAAGCTCCTTTCTGTCGTTCTCAACTTGTCGGGGGCATCGATATCCAACCTATTACACAGACAAACACTTTAAAATAGCTGTCAAGGATGTAGAGGAGGCGAGCAGGTAATATCTGGCGACATGCAAGCGTATGAAGCCCACGCAAGGCTCAGCTATTTGAGCTTTGGCTAGCCGAAATGCGAATTAAATGCCTTGGGAAGCGGCGACTCAAAGGCAAGAGATGATGGGACGTTGAAGGAGATGCAACGTTTTACGGCAGCTGGCAGTAAGCATGCATAGACGGTTACACAGGTTAAAGGGCGATTCACACACTTGCGCTGAGTCCGACTCATAGGCGTGCGCAGGATTTTTCATTAGGGGGGGCGAGGTTTCCCCAGAGCGCCCCCGCCGCCCCCCCTCCCCCCCCCCCCCCCCCCACTTTCTATCAACGCACTCCCACTGATGTCCTTATGGTCATATTGTAGTGCTGAGACGAGATATGGTTATGAAACGTTTATTTCAACAATATTGAATTGTAACATATACAAAATATTATCAAGCAGTAGGTTTCACTTTCTTGTGAAACGTCCGCAAAGAAAGGCAGTCCCTGAGCAGCTGAGGCGTCAGTAACACAACGCGCATACAAAATTTTTTTATTCTTTCTAAATCAGAGAAAGAGACGACACATATGCCATTTTTAACAGCACAGAATAATTAAAAATATTGCCTCAACGTGACTCTGCTTGTATGGAAAATATAGTATACATACAGGGCAAACGCCTGGGTGCACCTACACATGACGAAAGCTGTCATATGGCGTCTGCAACGTTCATGCAGAGGACGAAAAACGCCACCCAATACACAACGCACACTCTCAAGAAAAAAGCGTCAAAAGGTGTATTCGTACACCCTTTGTACCACACAACACACCCCCAAACTTTAATTCGACATACAGCGCCCTACAGTAAAACAGACGGCCCGAAATTTTACGAGGGGCTTGATAGCCGTGTGATACAACTTATTAAAATAGATAATGTACGTTTTACTGAACACGAAAAAAATAATCCGGGTTTTCTTGGCCCTACTGTAAAAGCTCGGTGCTTTCTTTATGTGGTCTTTGATACGTACTTTAGCTATTTAATATGTTGTACCACACGGCTATCAAGCACCTCGTAAAGTTTCGGGCCCTCTGTTCGACTGTAGGGCACTGTACGTCGAATTTAAATTCTGGGGTGTATATGGGACAAAGGGTGTAAGAATACACCTTTTGAAACCCTTTTTTCTTGAGAGTGTAATAGCAAAGCTTAAAAGCACGAGAATATACCGCAG